TCTCTATATATATATATATATATATATATATATATATATATATATATATGAATGTATATATATATATAAATGAATTTTTAAGCCTTATATATTAATTTCTGTGTTCGTTTTGATTAGAATCAATCTTTCAAATATGTCTTATGAATATATTATTCTATTTTATTCTTTATTTTATGATATTAAAATATATAAATACAAATTAAATTATATTTTTTGTTTTTAATTATTTAATTAATAATATAAAAATTAAATATGCATTATATATAAAATTTTATTACTATGAAGAAGAAATTTAAATTACAATTAAATAAAAAAAAGATATATAATAAATAAATAAATAAATAAAGAAAAAATTTTTTCAAATATATGTATATATTTTATCCGAGTAATAAACAAATTTATTTAATATAAAAAAATTATACTTTTAAAAAAACATGACCCAATAATATATATTATAAAATTCATTATTACTTTAAAATTTACATTTTTTCATACGTTTCTTCATATCCACAAGTAGTGCAGCTATGTGTATATGTATCATCATCTTCATTATATAAATCTTCTCCAAATTCATGTGTATGAGATGCTTTTGATGTTTTATCATACAAGGAACTTCTAACTTGCATTCTTAATTGTTTAATCTATAAAACAAATAGTCTACTTTGTATTAATATTATTCTGTATTTTTGCTAGTATAATATGTTTATTACCTTCTTATTAAATTTTTTAATTTTAATTCCTTCTCTTTTAACATCACGTAATTCTTTTTCCTTTAATAATTTTTCTTCAGAACCCCATACTTCTAAAGCTCTCTGTTCTATTTGCAATTGCAAATATAATTTCATTTCGCCCCAATTTATATTATGAGGATTTTTTTTGTGATATATTTTAATGGAGGTTCTCTTTTATCAAAATCACAATCTTTTAATAGATATTCTTGTTTTGCTTCAGTTTTTGTAATTAGAGAGTGCTTGCCCTTAGGATCTCTGAAATAAAAAAAACTATTTATAATATTTTAAAAATTTATCTTAAAATAATTATTAACTTATATGCTTGTACCTGCATTTATCACATACAGGTATATCAAATGTTTGTAGAAGATATGAGTCTTTAAATTCATTTTTACATTCTTCACAATGAGGTAAATTAACAACAATAGGAGCAGGTTCTGATGTTATTTTTAACTAATAAAAGAAAAAACATTAATTTTCAAATAAGATATAAAATTTAATTCTATAAATTTTAAAATATTTTTAATTATTATACCATTTGTTCTTCTAAGTCATCACTTTCTTCTATAAGAAAACCTCCTCCACTGTCTATAACACGTTGTCCTTGAATTTTTAAGCAAATACCTTTTGTTGAATCTTTACATTCACTTTAAAATTTGAATATTTTTATTAAAAAATATTTATTTTTTAACCTATTAATATTCCAAAAATATTAGTTAATTCTAATATACCTTTTTATATAAGGATGGGAAATTATCTTAGATTTTTTTAAAAGTAATGCTTTTTGACGATTTCGCTCTGCACGTTCTTTAAAGTGCTGAGAATTTTCTATTTCTTTATCTTCTTTATCTCTATTTTCTTTATCTTTAGATAGATTCATTTCTAATACAGACATTTTCTATAATAATATTTTTACAAAGCAAAATTTTTCTTAAAACAATTGAACATTAATCTGAAAATTATAAAAAAATCAATAAATTCATTGTTTAATATTATTTTTTATAGTACTAATAATATTTAATTTTTGTAAATATAACACAACTTACATATATATATGTACAATTTATCGTTAAATTTATAAATAAAATATAAATAAACACTTTGTAATGATTCATAAATTATTTGTCATCTTTTTATCATATGAATTTATATTATATAACTAAAAAATTATTCAACAAATTTTACATTAAATTTACAAATTTATATATTATATATATTCTTGCAGAATAATTCACTTAATTTGACTTTTAATTTTATATACATCTAACATCAAGCATTAGTTCGCCATTTTTCTTTTCAATAGCAGATTCATTTTAATAGCAGTTCCGCGAAATTTTGTATTAATTTTATAAAAAGTTTAAAATAGAAAATAATTTGTAATTTAATTAAAAAAATTTCATAAAAAAATCAAAATATAATCGCAATTTTATTTTGTCATGTAAATCAATATTATGATTACAAGTTCTTTTATCTAAATTAAATTTTGAACTAAAATAAATAAGAACGTGCGTGCGTTTATGTTTTAATCATTTTTTTTTAAACAAATTATAACTTTATTTCAAAAGAGGTATATAATAAAATTCGAATTGTATTAGATAATTTGCGATTCTTTTATTTTTCTATATACATTGCAAGTTATCTAAAATTTAAATATTTAAAACAAAGAATTGCAGAAGATAGTGGTAAAAAATAATACTTTTTTTTAAAATGTACTTTAATTATACAATCATATTTATATTTACACATATATAATAATATATTATAACAAATATTTATATAATATATAAATATAGACATATTTAAATATTTATTCAAAGTATTAATTTCAAACTATCTAATGTATACGCAATTTAAAAGCTTTGTTTAATTATAAATTGCTTTTTCTTAAAGAATCTTTTTACATTTCGTGAATGAAATATATAAATATTACATTACAACTTGCATAAATTTGAATATTTAACATGCATTACAAATTTAATATTAATAATAAATAATTATTTTCTCATCAAAAGTTCGAAACAAGTACTAAACGTACATAAAGATGGCGGTATATCTTCCATTAATCTAATTATACACAAAGCATAAGCAATATGATTTTTTTTCTTTAATTCTTGCACAAGAATTTCTGCATTTTCCTTTACATTTGTTAAAGATCGATTTATAAATACATGTTCAATGATTCGATTAAATATTTCGTGATTTGGATCGAAACTTGCTGTCAAATTTTTTAAGAATAACATTTCTAATATTGGTGCTGACAATGTGATTTCCTAGAATATATAATAAAATATATAAAATATAAAAAATAATTTTAATTCTTTTAAAGTATATACATATACATACTTCGTGTTTTTCTTTAAGAATATTTATTGCTTCTTCATGAAATTCTGAATTATCAATATCCAATCTAATATAAATTGCATGTTCAAGAGGAATTTCTTCCATGTTCAAGAATTCTTTGAGTACCTATTGCAAATAATTTTCTGAATTATTTAAATTCAATTATTATATAGTAAATATATAGTAAATTATAGTTTTTAATTTTAAGTGAAATGAATTTTTTACGTTTAATAATTTGTATTTACATTTGTTGAAGATAATATTTTTATTAATTCCTTATATTCTTCGAAAATTTGTTTATTATGTTTGTTTTTTTCTTTTTCCACGATATAAATATTAACTATTTTCATCATTTTTAAAATTGGATGTTTATCAACTTTTATATATTCAGAATTTTCAAATTTTGGCCATTGCAATAACAATTTTTTCACTTCATAAAAATGATCAATATTTCGTATTTTATTAAATATTTTTTCAAAAGCTTCAAAGCGTTCTTTTTCTGTTACACATTCTCCTATATCTTTTGTAAGAGAAATATTTTCTATATACTTTTTTTGATTTAAGTTATTTTTTCCATTTTCTACATTTTCTACTACATCTTCATCTGAAAAATTTCCCCAATTATCAGTCCATTCTATATCATTTTTATCATTAGATTTAGACACATTTTGTGTTATTCTATTTCTGTCATATTGCAAATTTTGTGTGGAAATTTTTTTCTCTTTCAATTTTTCAATTGATTGATTTAAATTTTGAGTAAGTGTAATATTAAATTCATCTCTCTTTTTATACTCTTCAATTTTGCTAGTATCTTCTATTTCTTGATTTATTTCAAAAAATGCTGTCTTTTTTATTCCATATCTTTTGAAGAAACATGTTTGTAAATATTTAAATGATTCATAAATATCAGATTCTCTGCATTTGTGTATTACACTCATCATTTTCCACATTAAACTCAATGGACTATATAAATATAAATTTTCAAAATTTTTATATAAAGTTTTATACAATTCCAAACAATAATAATACATTAGAGTTTGAATATATAATTCTATTTGTGGAAATTCTGTTAAAATATTATGAATTTCTGATATATAATTTTTTTGTACACTAAATAAATATGCCATACCTAGTAACCAATCTTGTTGTATAGTATATTTTGCACATTCTAAAAATACTGAAATAAGAAAAAAATTCATTTGTTCAATATTTGATATTATATTCAAATAAGTGAATATGTTATACTTACAATGGTTAATATCACTCACTTCTAAGCCACAACAAGAAGACTCATTTAACATAGTAATTCTTAAAAGAGCACGACAACATTTGAGTTGTGTAATTTGTATATCCGGCATAGAATAATTTGTGTATTTTGTATCAAGATTACTGATTTTACAATTTTTATGTAAATCTTCATAAAAACATGGAAAACTTTGAACATCATTATTTATGTAATTTTCATTTTCTGTATCATTATCTTGATTATTAGAAGAATTAAATTTTAATTTAGATTTCCAAAAATTTGTATCACTTATAATTTTTATTAAATGAAAAGTTGAGCCTTTCATTATATTTGCAGAAGTTTTCACTATTTCGGTAGAAGTTTCTAAAACTTTAGGAACAAATTCTTTAGTTTCTACTTGAGGCTGTAAATTGACAATAGTTTAGTATAGTTCTATTTTCTCCGTTGAAAATTGTATTTTATAATATATTTCTTACAGTAGTTAATGCGTCTATGAATTCTTCTTCACTATCTGCATCATTAAAATCATCGGATGGTGAATCGGCAGGTAACCACAATTCTAAATTTTTATGTATCATTTGTATTTCTATTAAATGTATCTGATCTAGTGCTTTGCTCAATATATCGTTTGATCCATTGTTTATTGCAAACCACAAATATTTTTGTCGAGTTTTTAGATCTTCATAATCTTCACAAAATCCTAATTCTAAAGCAACGGTCCAGGCAGAAATGTAATTATTTTGTATTAATTGTTGACAAGTAGCAGCGCAAACATTAAAATCCTTTACCTATTATAATCACATATTATATATCAATTATCTAATCATATCAGATATATAAATAAGTATTAAATGATAATTTTAAAATAATTCTACCTCAAGTGCTTTTTTTGCAATTAATTCCAAGACTTTTCCTTCTCGCATTTTACTATTATTTCTTTCTATTCGTAAGTAATTTGCTAATGTTAATAATCTTTGACGACTTCTATGAGCATCTTCCCGTTTATTTAAACAATCTTTTATTAATTGCAATCTATCTTGCATTAAGCGTACTTGAAGTGGTAATATATTGATATTGAATTCATTCAATATTTGAAGTGAATTAATAAGATCATATTCTTCTTTTATTTGTGCATTATCATCTTCAATTAGATGAAGACAAGTTCTAAAATTATATTATATATAGAAATGAAAATAAAAATTAAATTAGAAAAACGCATCAGAATTAAAAAAACTTACTTAGCTAACTCCATATTAAAATCAATCAAAGATTTAGAACTATTAAAATATTCTTTACTAGCATCTAAGATTAAATTCACTGTTTTTTCATAAGACACTTTCAATAATGATTGTTCGTTTTTCTTAGTTTCAATTAAATTAGCACAATTTTGTATATTAGACTTAACTCCTGATACCAATCGTGCTGATACACATATTTCAAAACATATTTCTGTATCAATGCATGTAAAAATTAGACCATGAATTTCTAACATTTCATTCAATAGTTGAGCCCATTGTTTCTCATCTGAAGCTGATATTCTTAAATTAAATATAAATTATTAAGTATGAGATATATTACCAAAAAAAAAAAAAATAATATATTTATATTTATATAATTATTTACCTTGTATTTAAACTTCTTGCCATTTGAATTAGAAGTTGTTTTGCAGCTTCAGGATTATCTTTAATTTTTCGTAATGAATTCAATGTAATTTTAACACTATATTTATTTAAGATTTTAGTACATTCAAGTTCTTTCTCAAGTTCTTCTAATAAAATGTTCATAGTATTTGTCTTTCTTACATCACGATCTTTAGCGATAGAATCTATAATACATATTGCTGTTTCGTACATATTGGGATCATTGCAAGCATATATGCAATTTAATGCTAAAGTTACAATATTCTCTATCATTTGAAGAATTTCATTATCGCAAGATTGTTTTAAATATTCAAAAAATTTGACAGATAATTTTAAGTTGTCTTTGCTAGTGGATATCAAATAATCACTAAATAAATGCTTTTGTAATTTTCCACCCAGATATTGATGTCTTCTTTTTATAAATGGTAATAAAAAATTTTTTATATCATTCACAAAAGTTTTTTCAGTAGTCATACTCATTAATAATTTAATTTTTTCTAAATTAGATAATTTTTGTAATTGATCTAAAGACAAATCTTCTAGATAAACTTTATAAATAAGATCATCTAAGGTTTCCAAATCTAGCAATAAATTGTCTAAACCGTTAATATTATGTGATTTAGCAATCTTTATTAATTGTAAAGCATTATCAACCATACAACTATTTCTTTCAATTTGATAAGCTCGTGACTCGTACCAATTTTGTAGTAATTCTGGTGTAAGTAAAGTGTTTCTATATACATTTAATGATGGATCATAATCGTAAAGTAATTGTGATTTATCATTATTTTCTAAATTAATTATTTCATTGAATTCAGTTCTTTCAACCCAATCTTTTTGTCGTAATTCACATCGATCGAGTAAAAATAATTGTCCATTAGCATCACATTCTGGTAAAAGTTTTTTATATTTTAATGGATTTAAAGTTTCTGGGAAGAAATTAATAATTGCTAACCAATGAGGTAGTATATATTCACCATAATATATAAACATAATTTCAACTTCTCGACAATTTCCATTTTTCGCAAATTTAATTGCATTTTCAATAGCTGAAAGTTGCCGAAATTCTTCATAAAAATGTTTGTCATACTTCAAAGAAGAATTTAAAATAATTTCATATGTGAGTAATTTATCTAAATGATCTAGAAGTTTTCTTCTATACTTAATTAAATCTTTTTGAGCTTCAGATAAATATTTTATATCAATTTTTTCAAGTATTTGATTTATTTTTTGTAACTGTCTTAAATTTATATTAGCTTCATTCATTTCATTCCAATCTTCATCAATATTATCTATTACAAATTTTCCATTATCACAAGTTCCAATTGCTAACAAAGTTTCCAAATTAGCACCTTTTAATCCAAAATTCAACAATTCTCTTGCTGCTTCGATAGTATCTGGAACTCGAGTAATGCATTCATGTAAAACCCAAGATCTTTTTGTAACTTTACTCAAATGTTTTTGAATAGCATTCAATGATAATTCAGATTTTCGCCATTGTGTTTGATATACCAAGTCTGTATCTAAATTATACATATTTGCCAAAGCCAATGCTTCTTCATATTCCTATAATACAATTCTTTGTTTATTTGAAAGATTTAAAATTTTATAAATATTCATACCTCTATATCGATTTTTCTTGAATAAAGTTCTTCAGGTGTTGTACTTTTAAGTCCAAGAATTCTATATGTTCTAAATAATACTTTTGACTTTTTTTTCTTAGGCTGAAATTTTTCAATATCAGTAATAGAATATAAGGTACTTTGAATTAAATTTGTTGTATAATTTAATATACTAATTGGTTCCAATTCATCTTCTCCATTTTCTTCTCCACTTTCTGAAGGAAATTCTTAAAAAATAAATTAATATATTACATTCTTATCACAGAAAATATATATTGGTAACTAATTAAAAGCTATATTACAAACCTAATGTTTGACAATCTGTATTAGATTCTCTACTTCGTTTTTTACTTGTTATGTATGTTTCACAATCTAGGCATAAAAAGCCTCGATTTGAATCAAGTTCATATATTTGTGGTTGTCCAGCTAAAAATTCAGGACTTGTGCCTAAAAGATTCTTTAGATTGTTTATAGAACATACAGAAGTAGATCCTGAGCATCTTGCAATTATAATTGCCTTTGAAAATATCAATAGATTAGAACTAATTATATAATTATGTATTTAAATATATATATTAAAAAAAATATTACCTCATCAGACCACCAACCAATATCTATTGGATGGAATTCAGTAACACCTGGTGGAAATTTTTTTGATCTTGCATGTCCTAAGGGATTAGGTATATTGAAATCTGGTTGCTCTGATAATTTCCATTTTTTTTGCATAAATAAAGTTGGTAATCTCCATAAAGATATTGAACCATCCGTATGTAAACATGTTAAAAATTTATTATTTGGTGAGATTTTTATTTTGAATATGATTGATTCTGGTTGTAAGTTTAATGTAGGAATGATATTCCATATAGAAAATCGTGATTTAGTTTTTGATTCATCATCAAAAATAAATGATAATTTACAATATGGATATTCATTCAGAGGTCGCCATGATGTCAATCCACTATCTGAAGCTGTTGACTATAATTTATTTATTTAATTTATTTAATCAAAGATTGAAACTAAAGATATATTTTATAAATTGATATAAAAAATGAATTAATTACCATTAATTTCTGTGTTATTGTATTTCCAGCAACATAAAATAAGTTGTGCTTTTCATCATAAATTACAGCATTTATTCCATTCTTATAAAAAGTACCAAAAGAAAATTCATAATTTGCTTCAAATTCATTAATTGTTAAAATGTAATATGATCTAAGCAAACCACTATATGTGATTAATAGAAATTCATAAGAATATTTTTCAGATTTTGTCTTTGGCTTAAGAAATATCATAGAAGCTATTGAATCCCCAGCTTCTAAAATATTTGGGTTTTGAGATATAGTCTTTGGATTAATATTAAAAATATTATTTCCCAAGGCATTGTAAAAAGAATATAACCATTGCTAGATGCTAATACTAAAAGTGATCCATCTGGACTCCATACTAATTTGCGCCATTGTGGAAAAGCATCTTTTGGTACTAAAAAGATAAAAAATATTATTAAAATTATAAAATAAATCTTTTTAAAAGAAAAATAGATAAGATTTAGAATTATTTAGAATAGAAAAGAATTATATAAATTTATGATTTTTACCTGAAGCTTTTCCAATAATGGAAGAATATTCATCTTTTGCTTTTCGAATCTCTATAATATTTTCTTGTAAAATAGCAAGTAAACGTCCATGATCTCCAATTGCAAACTTCCATGGTAGAGTAAGACTAATTTGTTGTGATATACTTTCTGGTAAAGAATATCTGTTATTAAGATATCTAAGTGCATTTTTTATTGTCCCTGTTGTAGGCAATATTATAGTATCATTTTTACATTTCTGAAATAATTATTATTTTATAAATGTATATAGATTTAAAATATATGTTTTATATGAGTTTTTTCTTTTCTTTCTTGAATATGTGAATGTTCAAAACTTACTATTAATTCTGGTTCTTGTTTTCGAATAAAATATTCTAATAACTCATAAAGTATTGGTTTATTTGGTAATTCATTGGAATTAACCATTTTTTAGTAAGAAACATAACCTACTACTTCAATAAAAATCTAAACTTGGAAGTGAAATCAGTCAGGACTTGACAAATCACATTAATGCAACTCATATACTAATGTCACATACTTTCTCTTATCTTTAAGATATGTAGATAAATAAATTTAATAAAAATTATTTAATTGTTTTTATACATATTAGTTAAAAATATTAATTAATAAACGAATTATGCATATGATTTTTAAAATTTATCTAGAATTTTATATCGTGTTATATTTTTGTGGATATAAGTTGTATAAAATACATGTGTAAGGTAGTGCATACATGTGAATTTCAAAATATAAACTTTTTCGTGTTTGCGGTTGTCAACAGGGTTAACGTGGAAGTTTTATTTTTAACATTTAAATTTAAATATTTGCAAAATGTCAGATGGTGAAGATGATTTTATGTGTGAAGAGGAGGAAGATTATGGTCTTGTGAGTATTTATATTCATAAAGAATATATTGATAAATTCAAAAAAATTTTGGTTAAAAAATAGGTTAGAATTTTAATCTTGACGTATAAGAAAATTTAAAATTAATTTTAAAAGTGTGTTGTAATGTTTAAATAATAAAAAATAATATTATTGCAATTTTTTCTAGTGAAAATAAAGGTAAAGAAGGAAGGAAGTTATATATTTTAAATTTGTTTAAATTATAGTGATACTTCTAAGATGGCATTTTTAAATTTTTTTTTTATTTTATTAAAATTGATAAATTGATTTGAGATAAAACTAATTTTGAATTGATATTATTTTTATAATAATTTTAGGAATATTCTGAAGATTCAAATTCAGAACCTGATGTTGATTTAGAAAATCAATATTATAATAGTAAAGCTTTAAAAGAAGATGATCCAAAAGCAGCTTTACAAAGTTTTCAAAAAGTTTTGGATTTGGAAGGAGGAGAGAAGGGCGAATGGGGTTTCAAAGCTTTGAAGCAAATGATAAAGATTAATTTTAAATTGGTAAGTCATATTAGATTAATGATATATAAGATTTATTCTATTTTATAATATTTTATTTTTTAGGTAATTATAAGAAATGATGGCACGATATAAGCAATTATTAACTTATATTAAAAGTGCAGTTACCAGAAATCATTCAGAAAAATCTATAAATTCTATATTAGATTATATTAGTACCTCAAAAAATGTAAGTGATATTATAAATTATAAAATATAAATTGTTTAATTTCTGATATTTATTTTTTTTTATTATATATTTTATAGATGGAATTATTACAAGATTTTTACGAAACTACTTTAGATGCATTAAAAGATGCTAAAAATGATAGGTTATGGTTTAAAACTAATACAAAGTTAGGAAAATTATATTTTGATCGATCAGATTTTAATAAATTAGCAAAGATATTAAAACAACTTCATCAAAGTTGTCAGGTAAACTTTCTTTAATTTCTTATTTGTAAATGAAATTTATTAACATAATATACATATAATAAATTATATATATATATATATATATATATATATATAATATAATATAATAATTAATTAATAA